TTTCTCTGAGTGATACTCTTCATCCAATATTTTTGGCCTCTCTCTGCTAAGGGGAAATTACGGAATTGACCCGAGGAGACAAGTGTTCTCATATTGCAAATGGACAGGTGAAAAGTATCACACAGCTTAGGAGTCACTGCACATGGTTGCTCAGACTACTGTGTGATGGTTATTTCAGAGACGCCTAATATGTTAAACATCATGGCATTCAGTAATTCGTTAAGTAGATATTTTTCCAGTTCCTATGATGTGCCAGGGTATGTTTTGGGTACTTGGAGATTAGAGTAGTTTAAAAATTCATTAAAATCCCTTCCTTACACATATGGTCAACTCCTTTACTCCTCTTTCACTTTGTACCCTCTCAGTGACAAAATAACCTTGGATGAACACAACTTTCTATGATTCCTCCCCTGCAGCCTTGTGCAGATAAACAAGCCTGTAGAAAAACACACAAACTGATCTAAGTTTTAAGTCTCTGTTCTGTTGTCCTAAAGTGGGCTCCTAGTGTAGGTTGTCATTTTATAGTTCCTAGGCCTCTCGATTTCCCACACTCCTGGAGAACATTTTCTCACTTCTCCTCTTCCTCAACTCCCTTCACTTATCACTCTCAGCTGATGACCTTGCCTCCTGTATCATTGTGTTAGGTTGCTGAAGTTACTGTAACAAGTTACCACAAACTGAGTGGCTTAAAGCCCAGAAATTTATTCTTTCACAATTCAGGAGACTTGAGGTCTGAAAATGAGGTGTCAGAAGGGCTACACTCCTTGCAAAGGTCAAGGGAGATCCTTTTTTGTTTCTATTAGTTCTCACAGCTCCCGAATTATTTGACTTGTATCTAAAAACTCTAGTCTCTGGCTCAGTCTTGACATGCCATCTTATTTGTTCTCTCAACCTTCCCTCCTTTTCTGTTTCTCCCTCTTTTTTTTTTTTTTACCGTGATAAAGTATAGAGAGCACAAAATTTGCAATCTCAGCCATTTTTAAGTGTATATTTCTTTGGCATTAAGCACATTCACATTGTTCTGCAACCACCACTGTCATCCATCTCCAGAACTTTTTCATCTTTCCGAATGGATACTCTGTACCCATTACACACTAACTCGTAATATCTCCTTTCCTGCAGCCTCTGGCAACCATTATTCTACTTCATGTCTATTAATTTGACTACTTCAGGTACCTTTAGAGGTACTTCATGTAAGTGTAATCATACGGTATGTCTTTTTGTGACTGGCTTATTTCACTTGGCATAATGTCCTCAAGGTTCCTCCATGTTGTAGTGTATGTCTGAATATCCTTTTTAAAGGTGGAATAATATTCCATTGTACATACATATATATCACATTTTTTTTATTCATTGTCAATTAACTCGAGTTGCTTCCACCTTTTGGCTATTGAGAATAATGCTGTTATGAACATAAGTATACAAATATCTGTCCTGCTTTCAATTCTTTTGGATATATACCTAGAAGTAGAATCATTGGTCATATTTTAATTTGGTCCATGTTTCATTTTTGAGGAATAACTTGTTACGGACTGAATGTGTCTTCTCAAAATGCATATGTTGAAATTCTAACCCTCAATGTGATAGTATTAGGAGGTGGGACCTCTGGGATGTGATAAATTCATGAGGGTGGAGCCCTCATGAATGGGATTAGTATCCTGATAAAAGAGACCCCAGAGAGCTCTCTCATCCATTCTGCCACATGAAATGACAGCAAGAAGATGGCCAATGGACTAGGAAGCAGACTGTCACCAGGCATGAAATTTGCCAGTGCCTTGAGCTTGGATTTCCCAGCCTCCATACTGTGAGAAATAATTATTTGTTGTTTAAGACACCTGGTGCATGATAGTTTTGTTATAGCTGCCAGCAGAATGGACTAAAACACTGCCATACCGTTTTCCATAAAAATTATGCCATTTTACATTCCCACCAATAATACACAAGGGTTTCAGTTTCTCCACATCTTTGCCAACACTTAGTATTTTCTGTTTTTTTTTTCTGTCCTAATGAATGTGAAGTGATATCTCATTGGGGTTTTGATTTGCATTTCCCTAATGATTAGTGATGTTGAGCTGTGTATCATGTGCCTATTCCATTTGTATATCTTCTTTGGAGAAATTCTGTTCAAGTAATTTACTTGTTTTTGAATTTGGTTATTTGTTTTTTACTTGTTGAGTTGTAGAGGATCTTTGTATATTCTGGCTACGAATCCCTCATTAGATAAATGATTT